TTGGCCAAGAAAATGCAGTGGGAAATGAAGTCATGTGATTTCTTTGGCTGGGCTTTGAGTAGCCTTGTAGGTTTCATTTTTGCATTCCTGGGACTTGCTCACCTCCATGGAATGAAACAGACTTGTAGCCCTAAATGCTGTGAGACCAGGTGGAGAGAGAGAGGAAACACCCCAGCTGACAGCCTGCCCAAGCCTCCAGGCATGTGATGAAGGCCTCTTGGAAATTCAGCCCTGTCCAGCTATTTCTTTTTTCTTTTTCTTTTTTTTTTTAGATGGAGTTTCTCTCTTGTTGCCCAGGCTGAAGTGCAGTGGCACTATCTCGGCTTACTGCAACCTCCGCCTCCTGGGTTCAAGCGATTCTCCTGCCTCAGCTTCCCAAGTAGCTGGGATTACAGATGTGCACCACCACGCCCAGCTAATTTTTTGTATTTTTAGCAGAGGCAGGGTTTCACCATGTTGGCCAGGCTGGTCTCGAACTCCTGACCTCAGGTGATCCACCTGCCTCAGCCTCTCAAAGTACTGGGATTATAGGCATGAGCCACTGTGCCTGGCCTCTTTTCTTTAATTTTAAAATTCAAGTTATATACATGAAAATGGCAATGAAGAATCCCACAACAGTCCTGTGTATTCCCAGACAAGCAACATCCATGCTTCTCCAGCCAGGTAGGCTGCTTCGGGACTCTTGGGCTGGAAACACCCACTGGGCCTTGCAGGCCTCTCCCTGTGCAGCATACATAACCCTAATGAACCTGGCCTCAGTGCTGGCTATGGGTTTGCATGAATCCAGGTGTGAATCTGGACTCTACCACTTACTCTCTGTGTGTTCACAGGAAAAGGAAAGAAATGCTTTTCCTCATAGCACAATGGTGTCAGCAGCAATCCCCTGTTCCTGATATTAGGTAAGATAGGGTGGGATTGTGCATGAAAAGAGCTGAGCCCAGGTAGGAGACAGGGTGCATTTGCCAGAAATGGTGGGTGCTAATCCAAAGGCGAGTGAGGAGAATCTTCTCTCCAACCATCTTGGCTCCCTGGGCACAGTGCTGTTACCTGGGATTTGCTGCCCTCCTCCCCCCGCCCCACACACCTGCCCCAGGAAGGGGAGGAGGCTCAATGGAGAGCATCAGACTAGAGACCAGGGCTGGGACCAGAGCTGGGAGCCTAGAGCAGAAGCCAGGTCCAGAGAGAGTCAAGAGGAGGGGACAGTCTGCAAGGGAACCAAAAGAAGCCCCTGGAGGACAGGAGGCAAGTGACCATCAAGGAACCTGAGGAGGAGGCTCGAGAGCAGAGGCTCCGAAAGGCTGCAGGACCTGGACCTGGATTTCAGCACCAGACTGGCCCTCATGTCCTAGTGTGTTCATGGTTCAGGGTCCTCCTCCTTCTGTGATGGTCACAGCATGTGCTCCTGTGGTCCTTTCCTGGTTGACCTTAGGACACAGGGGCTTACATAGCTTCAGAGTGACCTACAAGCTGCTGGGTCGGGGATGCCCTGCCCCGTCCCTTCCTGAACTCAGGCCGCCCATGCTACCCACATCAGTGTCACAGAATAAGGAAGTTCTCTGCTGTGTCTTCCCGCAAGCTTTGGTTTTGATTCCCTGCTCTGACAACAGCCCTACGTGGATGCTGTGGAGTGACAATGGGGAAAGCCTGCCTTGGCCACACTTCAGCCACTTTGGGGAGCAGGGACCAGGAAGGCAGAAGCACAGGGGACAGGTGGGAGGACAGGTGTCCACACCCTGGAGAAAGGCCTTGAATGAGACTCTGCACCCCCCAGAAAGTAGGCTCCAGGGCAGCCACCCCTCCGTCCCCCACTGCGGCCAGCACAGGGCATGCCTGCTGCATCCAGGGCTGTGCAGGGCATGCAGTGCAGAGGGCAGAGTGTGTCCTACGCCTTGATCCCAGGCCCTGGGAAAGGAAGGAGACAAACATGCCAAGCTCTTGTTTGTGTCAGTCCATCTAATTATGGCAAACTGGAGCAAGGAGTGCTTTCATCCCCGTGCCCCCTCTTGAGCAGATGCTAAAGGCTCTGAAATTTACCTAGACCTGCCCAGGCCTTCCCAGTGAACAGAGTGATTCAGGGACACAAATCCCATCAGAAGGGTCACCCTGTGCCCTTTCTCTCACCTCCAGGCCCTGCAGAAATGTGGGGAAGCTGTGCTCCTGCCCCAAGTGAGCCCCCGAGTCCCGGCAGCAGGCCTGGCTTCCTCCTTTCCCAGGTCCACCTGCTGCACCCAGCACAGCTGCCCCTGGAGGAACATTCATAAGTGCCACAACCTGGCACAGCAGGGTGAGTTCCCCTGGGACTGCCATGCCCCCTGCCAGTGCCCCACCCTGCACACCCACATTCCTCTGTGTGCTGAAGCCTGTCTCTCTCAGGACAGCAAAAAACCAGTGACAGCTGGCCCCTTCCTGGTCCTCTTGAGGTCAGGTCAGGACAGAGTGTATAAGGCATCCATAGAACCTGGGAGAGACTCTAGGCTCATGTCAGTGCTGCAGTCCTCAGAGTGATGGAGATAAGTGTGCACCATCCCTCGGCCAACTGCAGGGAAGAAGAAAGCAGACTGTGCCCCTTCCTGCGGACCAGCAGCTCCTCCCCCATTTCGGCCTCTGTAACACTGAGTGAAAATGACAGACCCCACACCCCACTGGAGTTTCCGCTGGAGCCCAGGAAAGGTCCCCAGGGACAGGAAGAAGCTGGTTCCCCATGTGGGTGGCAGGGATGGGTGCAGGGAGAATGGCCTCCTTCACAGGTGCAGGCGTTGCCTGAGATTCACCCTGGTCCCCCGTAAGGGGGGATGAGGCAGGTGCCCAGCAGGGGTTCAGACTATTGAGGGACAGACCAGGGCAGAGGGACCCTGGGCAGGTGCTGGGATGCACAGCCTGGGTCACCCTGGGACCAGAATGGAGGCCCCTCTGGGGTCTGGAGTCCATGCTGCCCTGTACCGAGGTCCCTGCTCTGCCACCACTGTGGGGCCCCACCCCCTCTACAGCCCGGAGGACCACAGGCTGCCAGTTCCCAGCCCAGCTCCCAGCAGTGTCATGGGGCTGTGTCCAGTCCCCTCCCCAGGACCCACAGGGCTGCCAGGTCATGGGGAAAGCTGTGAGTTGAGGCCCAGGGAACAGGGGCCTGTGCCCTGGGGAGGTGGGGTTCTGGGGGACAGAGAAGGTCTCCCTGGGACCTGCCCTGTGACATGACTAACTGTGGGGTTCTCTCACCAGGGTCAGGCCCTCTGGCCACCCCTACACTGGCCCCTTTGCCCAGAATGACCGCACATTTTTTATCACTTGCTTCCAATGAGTGGAGTCAGGGCTGCTATCAAACCCAGACACACAAGCAAAGGGCAGCTTTGCCAACCCGGTCCCTCCTGTGCCCGCCCCTGTGTGGGAAACACTAAAGCCCTCTGCTCAGGGCGGGCTGGGGTACGCCCTGGAGTGCTCTGGAGCAGCTGGAGGAGGTTTCTTTCTGTCAAGACTCTGTTACTGTGTGTGCGTATGTGTGTATATGTGTTGTGTATGTTGTGTGTGTGCGTGTGTATGTGTGAGCATGTGTTGTCTATGTTGTATGTATGTGTGTTGCGTGTGTCATGTGTGGTATGTGTAGTGCAAATGTTGTGTGTGTATGTGTTGTGTGTGTGTGCATGTGGTGTGTTGTGCATGTGTGTGGTGTGTGTGTGTCTAGGCCACAGAAGCAGTGAGTCATTTCTGCCCAGGAGCAGCCGCCTGTGAGACCTGTTCTTGGTCATGTATGTGGCTTCTGAGGACTTTCCAGAAATTGTGAGGTGGGAGCCGCCTGCTGTAATCAGGCACATAAGTCACACATCCCAGAGTTGGGAACCAGCACAGAAGGCCTGGAACAGACCCCGAAGTGAAGTCACAACCCTGACACCTGCCGCCCTGACCCTGGGCTCCCTCACTGCCTCTGAAGCCTCCTGGCTCCAGGGCTCAGCTCCCCTCCCCTCCATAGCTGGGCTCTGCCTCCGGGGCTGCTCCCCGGACCCCAGCCTGGACACCTGCACCCTCCCTGAGCTCCTTCCCCTGCCTGGCCCTGTCCCACACTCAGCCATGGGCTCCCCTGGGCTCCCTCTCTAGGGGGGTGGAATCAGGAAAGGGTGGGCACAGGGCTGCTCCCAGTGGCCCCTGACTGCACATGTGGGTTCCTTTTCTGCAGGGAGACAGGCTGCTGTGCTCTTCCCGTGGGGCCTGTCCCTTCTAATCAGCGCACGGGTGGTGAGTGAGCGTGGGGTCTGCATTTAGGTTCCTCTCCTGTGAGGTTTAGCTGAGTTTTCTGGCCCTAGAGGGAAGTAGTGTGACCTTTGCCCCACTGCAGATCCACTACAAAAGGAAAGGCAGCTACGCATTTGCTGGTGTTGATGTAAACACTTGCAATTCATGATACAATTACTGAGCCAAAGCAGTTATGGAAGATTCTTAATGTTTTATTAGTCTAGATTCGAAGCCAATTAAAATAATCATTTCATTGATAAACTGAATTAATTAATTAATTGAAAACTATTCTGAGAACATTGAGCATAATCTTACTATTGTATATTTGGAACATAACAGACATTTTCAATTTTTTTTTTTTGAGACAGAGTCTAGATCTGCTGCCAGCTGAAGTGAGCGGTCTCGGCTCACTGCAACCTCCGCCTCCCGGGTTCAAGCAATTCTGCTGCGCCAGCCTTCTGAATAGCTGGGATTACAGGCAGGCGCCACCAGGCCCAGTTAATTTTTGTCTTTTTCACCATGTTGGCCAGGATGGTCTCCATCTCCTGACCTTGTGATCCGCCCATCTCGGCCTCCCAAAGTGCTGGGATTACAGGTGTGGGCCACAGAGCCCACCTCAATTAAAACTAATTCACTCTGATTTTTTAAAGAATCTACTTGTGAGGAGCTCATTGCTTTGCTGGCATTTGTGATCAGCTGGAGATGGTGGTGAACAGCCTGCTTGCATTTCTTGGAAGAAGATCTTTTATTCTGCTGCTCAGCCCAGGTCTCTGCCTTCCTTAGAGACTAAGGATCATCCATCGGTTTCCCTGATTCAGGAAGAGCAGGGAGTTGAATGGAGCAGGGACTGAGAGAGTAGAAAGAGGGCACAGGGAGGAGGCCTGGGGACAGGGACAATGACAGGAGAGGTGGGGGGACACGGGAGGTGGGAGAGAGAGGGAGGCTGTGAGAAGGACAGGGAGAGACAGAGCTGGGCACCCGGGGGGAGCAGGGAACCCAGAGGAGGCTCTGAGCAGAGGGGAAGGCAAGGCCCAGAGGGAGAGGGAAGGAGGGGAGGCCGATGGGGCTCTGGGCAGAGGGAGGAAGCCCTCACCTGGAGAATGGCCTGCAGCCTCCCACTCAGGGCTTGGCTGTGCTCATCTAGTCCCTCCCAGGGCTGGAAGGGGTGTCCCTGGTGATCCACAAAGGTGTCCCAGCAGTACCTAAACTCTGAAAAAGGGACAGGGGAGATAAGTCACGTTCCCTGTGGGGAGGGGGAGGCACTGAGGGCCCTGACTCTCAGGACAGACTTCCACATGCTGGTTTCGGTCCCTCCTTTCCCTCTGCCTCCCCTAGGGACTTCCCTCCTTCATCAGGCACTTCCTTCCCATTGGAATCTGGGACACCCCAGTTATTCTTTCTGGAAGCCCCAAGTCCTTCTTCCACTTGCAGCCACCCTCCCCGCCCTTCCCAGGCCCCCATCTCCTGGCCTGGCCTCTCTCTTCCCATAGACCCCAAAGTCAGGCAGAGTGCAGCCCTCGCCTCTGCAGGCAGCAGACCAAGGCCTTTCTCCTATTCTTCTCATGGACCTCTCCTGCCCTTACCCTCCCCACCCACCCCACTGGAACCTTCCCTTCTCACCCTCAGAGGTCATGATGGAGACTTGGGCCCCAGCATTCTGCAGCATTTGCAACCCCTCCTCATATCCTGGGCGACAATCATAGATGCGGGCAGCGAAGATGTGCAGGTTCACGTGTGGGTTCTTTTGAAGAAATTCAGCCACCTCCCGGGCACAGTTGAAGCAGGGGCTCCAGGAGATGAAGCAGGTGACCCTGTAGGTCTGGGTCAGGTCCAGCTGCCAAGAAGGAACCCGGTCCAGGAAGCACCTCTCTGCATGGCGGCCATCAGAACCACTGAGATTCTTAGCCTAGAAAAGGAAACCAAGTGTGAGGTCATACGTTGTGAACAGGGAGGGAGGGCCTGGACCAAGTGCAGCTGGGGAGGCGGGGGCCTCCAGGACAAAATTAGAGGGGTCACCAAAACCCATTATTAGGATGAATGATTTTCTGTGCAATATTTAAAGTATCAAATGTTATGCAAAGGTCCCAAGATAAGCAAAATATTGTCTATTTAAATACAAACAAATCAAGCCAGGCGTGGTAGCTCACATCCAGCACTTTGGGAGGCTTCGACAGGTGACTCACCTGAGGTCAGGAGTTCAAGACCAGCCTGGCCTACATAGTGAAACCTCGTCTTTACTAAAAATACAAAAATTAGCCGGGCATCGTGGCGCATGCTTGTAATCCCAGCTACTAGGGAGGCTGAGGCAGGATAATCACTTGAACCTGGGAGGTGGAGGTTGCACTGAGCCAAGATCTCACCCTTGCACTTCAGCCTGGGCAACAAGAGCAAAACTCCATCTCAATAAATAAATAAGTAAATAACCCAGATCAGGAGCAATGATGTTTTATTTTGTCCCAGCTCCGATATACACAGGACAGCACTCTCCTGTCAGTCTCTATTTAAAATCTTAGTTTTTATTCACCATAGTATCCCAGGACCCAGGTACCTTCCCACTTTGGAGAAGTGCATTAAATTTGCTTTTAAAAATACTGCATTAATTATTAAATTAAAATGTGTTTTCTCTAATTACTGAGCATTTGAAGCCCCCTTCAATGTTGTACCCAAAGTCAGAGCTTTCAACAACCTCACTCCAGGCCCAGTGCTGCAGGGAGTGGCTACAGAAATGGGGGTGGGGAAGAGGGGCCGGCTGAGCCCCAGGATCCTTGGCCTGTTGCCCCTGAGTGAGTGTGGTTCCTTCAAAGGGAGATGGACCAGCTCTACTCATCAACTCCCCTACCTCCATCCCATCTGTGGCCCATAATTCTAGAAGCTTCTATTCTGTGCCACAACCTGTGCTGAGCCCAAATGTGATATAGACTTAGGCCAAAGGGGATTCCACAAAAGTCGTGGGGAAGAGAAGACCAGCAGGACTTACTCCAAAGTGGGAAGGTCCCTGAGTCATGGGATAATTGTCATTGTCGTGACTTATAGAAATATGGTATTTGCTCCAAACTTCAGAGAAAAGGACTTTCCACTAAGACTAGAAACTTATCAAGCTGGGGACAGCAGGGCAGCAAGGACTGTGATTGTGATGGGGACAAGGACAGGGAAGGACTCCAGAGAGGACACAGGTGGAGTGGATGACATGGTTTGTGCTGAGAAGGGGCTGTGGCTCATTCCTGGAGGAGTCCCATTGGTTAGGCAGTTATGGGGACTGGAGCCCTCGAAAGGACATTCCAAGCTGGGCATGGTGGCTCATGCCTGTAATCCCAGCACTTTGGGAGACCAAGTCAGGTGGATCATAAGGTCAGGAGTTCAAGACCAGCCTGGCCAACATGGTGAAACTCTGTCTCTACTAAAAATACAAAAATTAGCTGTGTGTGGTGGTATGTGCCTATAGTCCCAGCTACTTGGGAGGCTGACGCAGGAGTATCACTTGAACCCAGGAGGTGGAGGTGGCAGTGAGCTGAGATCATGCCACTGCATCCAGCCTGGGCGATAGAGCGAGACTCCCCCTCAAAACAACAACAACACAGACATTTCAAGAAGTGTGTGTGAGTCCAGCAAGGCCCACATTTTGCTCACAGACCCCAGAGGAGTCCACAGTTTCCAGCACCAGAATCAAGCAGAACTTGTCCTCTCTAACCAGGGCTGTGCTGGGCAGGGGCCAGGGAAGATCGTCCCTCTAGCTCAGGGCCCCTTGGCCCATCCTGTCCCGGCTCCTCCCCAAATGCTGGCCATCCCTGCATCCTGATGCGGGCCTGTTCTGGCCTTGCTGTGGGCTCTACCCTGGTCAGGACAGAATCCGTGGTCGGCCTCTCCTGCCTCAGTCTCTCTCCCCGCAGGATTAAAGCCCAGAAGCAGGTACTGAGGAATCCTGGCCTTATGAGGTCAGGTAGGCCCTGAGTCCTCAAATCCCACAGTTCTGAATCATTCCTGGGGAGAGCTGCGTCTGTGAGGAGGGGATCCCGGGAGGGTCTTCAGGAAGCACTTTGCCATCGGGCAGACTTGACCCCACCTGGCCGTGGAGGGTGACTGAAGCTGAAGTCTTCTCCAACCGTGGGGTCAGCAGTAGCAGCTGCTGCAGAAAGCACAGGTGGCAGACACTCTGCGGGACACCACATGTACCACCGAGAACCTTCTACCTGTGAGAGTCCTTGGACTGGGAGGGCGCTGGCTGGATGCAGGTGGCTGGGTTGCTCACCTGATTGCGTAGACAGTCCCTCTGCTCAGTCATCAGGTCCCTGGTGCCATCGGGACCCTGGCGCTTCACCTCATAGCACAAGTAGGTCTGGTGCCGTCCAAAGACCCCAGGGTTATTGGTAAAGTTTTCAGTGAACGTATGTGGACCCATCAGGAGTCTGTGGACAAAGAAACTCAGCTGCTCGTTCCTCCCCTGCACCCCCCATTCCTTCCTGTGCTCCCCATATGCTGAGGCACTTGTCAGAGGAGGGGCTTCCACTCACTTTGTGGGGGCCACTGATCCTCTCTCTGACCTCTTCTGGGGGATTATCAGGAAGTCAGCACAGCCCTGGGCCTGTCTAGACCTTGTCAGAGTCTCCCAGGGTCAGCTCAGTGTCCTCAGGCCCTCTCCCCGGGGTCTCCTTCCCTGGCCTCACCATGCACCCCTCGCTGCTGGCATTGCTTGTCCTCAGCCTCTGCTGGAAGTGGACCCACTGGGGCTTCCCTCCTGCCTGCTGGATTAACACTACCACACCCAGCATCAGGGCAGAGACATTCCTGAGTGGGATCACTGGGGAGAAGAGCCTGCTAGGGACTTCTTTTAGGATAATTCATAGGATTTTTCGCATCCCTTAGGATGCCCTGAGGTCTCCCAAATGTGCCTCTCAGGTAAGTTGGGGTAGCTCAGGACTCCTGGGCTGGAAACACCAGCCCCACCTGAAGGCCTCTCCCAGACCCTCTCAATGCATCCTGACATAATCAGAATTAGAGAAATCTCTGGAGACAGCAGCAAAAGAAAGAAAGAGAGAGAGGGGGGAAGAAAGGAAGGAAGGAAGGAGAGAGAGAGGGAAGGAGGGAGGGAGGGAGGGAATGAAAAGAAGGAAGGAAGGAAGGAAGGAAAAGAAGGAGGGAAGAGGGAAGGGAGAGAGGGAAGAGGTAGAGAGGGAGTGAGAAGGGAGGGTAGAAGGGAAAAGAGAGAGAGAAGAAAAGGGAGAGAAAGGAAGAAAGGAAAGAAAGAGAAAAAAAGGAAGGAAGGAAGAAGGAAAGAAAGAAAAAGAAAGGAACAGAATCTGTTCTCTACTGTTTTGAGTAGACCTGGGGATGCATCTGGGCTCTATCCCTCACTCGCTTTGTGTTCTCAAGGAAAGGAAACAAGACTTCCTCATAGCAAAGTGGTCCTACAACCAACCCCCTTTTCTTAATATCAGGGAGAACGAGATGACACTGAACATGGAAAGGGCTTAGGTCCAGGGACAGGATACATTTGCAAGAAATAGTAGACCCTCATGTAGTCAAGCAAGGAGAATCCCCACTCCGACCATCTTCACCGGCTGGGGCACAGCACCATTATCTACCGGGATTTTCAGGCTCCCTGTGCACCTGCCCCGGGAGGTGGAAGGATACCTGGAATTGGTACCATTGGTGGAGAGACCATTGCTGGGACCAAAACTGGAAACCCAGACCAAAAGGCCAGGCCCAGAGAGAGGGTCAGGAGGAAAACAGAGGCCCCAGGGGTTTGAGGGTGAGGTGAGCACTCATCAGAAAAGCTCAAAGAGGAGGCTGAGGCACAGAGGTGCTCAGAGGGGCCTCCCATACCTGGGCCTGGATGCTGGGCTGGCCTCCATGTCCTCGTTCCTTCTTGGTTCCTGGTCCGTGTCCTCTCGCTCCTGAGACTTGCTCAAGCTGTGGTGTTGAGAACTTCACCAACATTCTCTTAGGACTTGGGAGCCTTAATATATCATCATAGTAACCTGGAAGCTGCTGAGTCAGTGATACTCTGCCCCACCCCTTCTCCAACTCAGGCCATACATGCCACCCATGTCAGCATCAGAACAAGGAAGTTCTCTGCCACACCTTCGGGCAAGCTTTGGTTTTGATGTCCCCACTCTAACAACAGACCCACCGGACACTGTGGAGTGACAATAGGATGTAGACCCAGCCACACTTTGCTCCCTTTGGGCTGCAGGAATCTGGAAGGCAGGAGGGCAGGGGACAGGTGAGAGGACAGGCAAGGTCCTCAATAAGACTCAGCATCCCCAGAGAGCAGCCTCCAGGGCAGCCAGCCCTGTGTCCCCTGCTGCGGCCAGTGCAGGACGTGCCTGGTCCAGGCTCCCTGGCACCTGCTGCATCCTGGGCTCTCTGTTAGGTTCCTGTGTCCTCTTCCCTGGCTGCGGATGAGAGACCAGGAAGTCCTGCATGCTCCTATGCATCAGTGTATCTAATAATTGCAAACTAGAGCGAGGGGTGTTTTCACCCCCATTACCCAGAGGAGATAATAAAGGCTCTGAAAGGTACCAAGACTTGCCCAGGCCCTCCCAGCGAACAGAGTCTCCAGCAGGGACACACCCCTACTCAGAAAAGCCACCCTGTGCCCTTCCTCCCACCTCTGAGCCCTGCGGAAATGTGAGGGACACTGTGCCCCAAGTAAGCCCCTGAGTCCCAGAGGCAGATCTGGCCCTGTTCTCTCCCAGGTCCCCCTGCTGCACCCGGCACAGCTTGAGTGAGGACCAGTTTCACATTGGCCCAGCACACTTGAGCAGGGACCAGTTTCACATGAGTGGGGACCAGTTTCACTCCAGCCCCTGGATGCCAGAACTTCCATAAGGGCCACAACCTGGAACCTCTGGGTGAGCTCCCCAGGGACTTATGTGCCCCCTACCACCACCACTGCCCACACTGTCCACATCAACAACCTTTTGTGCACTAGGGCCTGACTTTCTCTGGGCAGCAATGTCCCAGACAAAACTGGCCCCTTCCTGGTCCTCCTGCAGCCAGGACAGGGCAGCGTCTGTAAGCCATCAGGGGAGGCCAGAGGTGGTTGAGAGCATGCACCGTCCCTAGCCCAACTGTGAGGAAGACGGAAGGAGAGTCCACCCTTTCCTGGGGAAGGACAGCCCCTCCCCCATTTCTGTCCCTGGAATGTTGGCTGAACAATCACTCTTAGGTGGAAAATGTGATAAAATCCCAGGTCTTGCTGGAGTTTCCCCAGGAGCCTGGGGAAGGTCTGAGGAGAGAGGAAGAAACTGGGTCCCCAAGGGGGAGGCAGGAGAATGGCCTCCTTAACAGATGCAGGCTTCCCTGGGATTTGCCCAGGTCCCTGTAAGGAAAATTGGGAACAGGGCAAGTGCCCCACAGGGGTCCAGACTGAGTGAGAGAGACAGACCAGGGTGGAGGGATCCTGAGGCGGTCCCTGATTGCTGGGCCACTCAGCCTGCGTCACCCTGGGACCAGAATGGAGGTGCCATTCAGGTCTGGAGTCCACCATGCTGCTGTGTATGAGGTCCCGGCTCTGCCACACTGTGGGACCCCACCCTGCTACATCCCAGACGGACCACAGGCTGCCAGTTCCCAGCCCAGGTCTCACCAGTGTCATGGGGCTGCATCCAGTCCCCTCCTCAGGACCCACAGGGCTCCCAGGTCATGGGCAAAGCTCTGAGGTGAGGTCCAGGGAAGCTAGGAGTCTGAGGAGCTCAGGACAGAAAGGGATCCCTGCTCCTGTGCCCCCCCTGCCCCCTACAGGGTGACACGACAAAAGGGACCCTTCCTTGGGATACCCCAGACACACCCAGATGCCCACTTCAACCCTGCCCATGGAGCAGGCGAGGGGAGCACGTCCACGTCCACCTGCTTCTCTGGCTTTGATTCTGGGCTCTGACAACAGACCCGCCCTCCTCATCCTAGAAGCAAGTGACCTCAAAAGCCAAAAGATTGCTCCAGGCAAAGGGGCCAAGTTGGTGGGGGTACAAAGGGTAGGGGGGTAGGAGGGTGGAGAGGGTGGCTGCACCTGCCCTTGGACAGGAGACAGTGCTGTCCTCCTAGGGTGAGGCCCTCTGTCTCCCATGCCCCCTGTGCCTCACTGTACAAGCCAAGCACCCATGCAGGGCTCCAGAGAGGAGAGAAGAGAGGGTGTTGGGGGATCCCACCAGCAGAGAGGGAGGCCAGGACCTTCCCTGGCTGAGGGTGGGCAGGGGCAGCCACTGTTTGAGCATCTGCAGTGGCCTCTTTGACATGAGTGCAGTGGCCTCTTTGCCCAGAGTGACTACATTTTGGTCATTTTTCAGTTACTTGCTTCAAGGGGTGGTGCTGGGGCTGCTGTCAGAACCCAGAAATGAAAACTAAAGGATCAGGTTGGTGACGTGGTTTCCCCGGTGCTCTCTCCCGTAAGAATTGCTGAAATCCTCTGACTTGGGGCAGAGCTGAAGTAGGCATCTGGGTATGTCTGGGAACTCCCCGGATGGTTCCTTTCTGTCCTGTCACTGTCTGTGTGTGCTTGTGTGTCTGTGTGTTTCTGTGCCTTGGCCACGAGAAGGGGTTGGGCCTGTTTGCTCATGAGCAGTTGTTGGGGAGGCCCACTGTGTGCCACATATGCAGTTTCTGAGGTCCTGAGGCGGAAGCCCCCACTGTATCCACCACCCCTCGTGGCAGAGAAGGAACCCAGAGAAGGAGGAGAGACATCCCACCTCGTGGAAGCCCAGGAATCGGAGAGACCAGTGTCCCTTGTGCTTAGGTGGCACAGTGGGGTCCCTCTCTCCCTCCCCACCCCCATGCTCCTGGTCAGCCTCCTCCTGCTCCAGCCCTGGTTGCCAGGGCCTGCCCCCCACCTTCCCTATGGGGTGGGACACTGGTGAGCCACATATTCACAGGGGACCCTCAGCGCAGAATGAGCACTGAATGTTAATGCATGTAATTGACATTCACATCGTTCACTTGACCAGCCCATCCACTCCCTCCCGGATGCAGGGAGAACCTTCTGGAAGAGCCTACTTGACATGTCTGGTATCCTTGGCCTCCCGACAAGTCTGGACCACTGATCCCACATGGTAAAAAGGGACCCTCTCACAGAATACTCCCAGACACGGACAGATGCCCCATAGAGAAGGCAGTGGGTAGGTCCTGGCAGTCCTGACCCCACCCAGTCCTCCAAGGGAAGCATCCCTAGCTGTTTCTGCTCCTCGGCCTCCGACACCCTCATCCTAGAAGCAAGTGACTCGGAGGGCCTGGGCTGCCCCTGCATGGTGAGCTCTGGGCCAGTGAGAGCCGGGGGCCCTGCTCTCAGCACCACCCTCCTCCAGGGGTGGAGACTGGGGCCTTGGCTCTGTGAGCTCCTGGGTCTGTTCCTGGATGCAGCTCAGCTCCCTCTGCTGTGCACACAGTTGGTGCCCAGTGTGTGCACGATGGCTCAAGTGGAGGGTGTAGGAGTCTGGGCCGGGAAGAGGGCCTGGCTTCCACCTCTGGCTCTGGATGGAGAGGGCACCAAGCTCACAGCGTCACCCATGTTGCTCAGCTGTTCGCTTGTGCTGGGCAGAGGTTCTCTCGCCGCTCCTGTGTTAACTGTATGGTGTCTTCTGCTGCACAGAAATTTCAATTACAATCCAATCAAATATATCACACTCTCTTCCCTTGGACTCATGCCTAAGGTCATGGTTGTGACCTTCCTACGTGTAGAAATTCTTACCTGTCTCTCTACGGTATGTTGCTTCTCTAGGGAAGACTGCATGCCAGCCTCATGGAAACACTTAGTGCAGAAAAGGTGGCATCCCTGTGGCAGGGAGGCCTGGGGGCCATAGTGTTTGGCATTGTGTGTCTTGCTCATGCCAGCTTTCTCAAGCGCAGGATGGCAAAAGCGTTTTCCTGTATTTCCTCCAATCCTCTTGTGTATATCAATAAATACACGTGTGAGACCCACATGCACAAACACACATACACACACACACACACACACACACACACACACACACTCCACCAAACCTTTGTTGAGCCGAGTGGGTGATGCTCCCTCAAGTGCACCAAGCTGGTGTCCTCCTCAGGGCTTTTGTGCCTGCGCATGGGTCACTTACCACTGGCTGTTGGAGCCCAGCTTCTCCCATGACAGCCCATGCGTCTGCCTCCCTCCCCGGCACACAGCAGGAACACCAGCCCTGCCCTCTTCACTGGGAAAGCGTGCCATGCACAGGTGGGTGTTCAGTGTTGGATGAATAATTCACACTAATGTACCCTGTTCAATGCACCAACTGTAAAACTGCTGGGGTCTCCCAACATTCCTTGGGACACACGTTAGAGTTCACGGCCAGGCAGGGTGGCTGACAGTTTGCTTTTCAGTGCTCTTCTTTTTGTCCTCTTCAGCCACGGTCCTTGCCAATGCCCGCTCTTCCAATACCAGCATGAAAGCGCCAATGTTTTGTTTTGTTTGGAGACGGAGTCTCGCACTGTCACCCGGGGTTGGGTTTCAATGGCACAATCTCAGCTCACTGCAACCACCGTCTCCCAGGTTCAAGTGATTCTCCTGCCTCAGCTTCCTGAATAGCTGGGACTACAGGTATGAGCCACAACACCAGGCTAATTTTTGCATTTTTAGTAGAGATGGGTTTTCACCATGTTGACCAGGCTTGTCTTGAATGCCTGACCTCAGGTGATCCACCTGCCTCAGCCTCCCAAAGTGCTGGAATTACAGGCATGAGCCACCACACCTGGTCATGTATTGACCTTTGGACCTCAACTCTCCTTATCTTTCATAGTTTTTGAAATCAAATGAGTGAATCCAAGTCCTATCAATGCAATGACCAGCTTGTCAAGTTCCAGTAAAGCCTTATCAACATTTTTAATATTATTTCATTCATTTATACAT